GTCCGGTCCCGCCGAAGGCAGCCCGTGGCCTCGGTGAATCCCCGCCAGCGGCCGATCGCGGGTGGAAGGGCTCGAGTTCCCCCGGGAGGAGCTGCCCTTACCCGACCTAGAGCTCACCTTTCCCTCAGCAAACATGGGGGGTGTTTTTTTGTGGTGCTGGGGAGAAGCCTCCTGTAAAGCCATCGGCTTCGGTGCCGCTCCGGTGATGTTTGTCGTGTAAACAGGTGGTGTAGGGTCGTTAAAAACAGCGCTCGATAAAATCCTAGAATTCCCCAGGCTGCCGTCCCACTGCTTTGTTTCGGTGCGATAGGCATCCTTGACTCTTCACCTACCTGGAATACGCACCGTGAAAATGGACTTTAGTTTGTGGGCGGTTGCTCCATCCCCCTGGAGTGGCCCTCTCTTGACATGGAAGCTGTTGCTTTAAGGAAATCGCAATTAAGAGTGAAAACTGCGGCTATCAAAATGTCTGCTTTGTACTGAAACCACTAGGCCAATATATATGTATTCAACATGAGTTGTACTTTCTGTATATAAGGAGTCAGTATGGCCAGCACTTCCACGGTGAAAGCGCCAAGCCTTTGAGTGCCGCATTCGCCCTGGGTGAAGTGTGGCAGCTCGCAATCGCTTTTACTGAGCACGAGGCTTGGCGAGCACTGGCAACATACACGTCCATTCTTCGTCAGAACTGTAGTACCAATTGAAAAAGGCTTTGGAGGTTCTCTTGCAGTGCTTTCTGCTTCACAGAACTGCCTGCGGGCCCCTTTGTTAACCACCACAATGTTGAAATTAATAAAAAACCCTCATGTTTTTAGGCACTGTGTGTGTGTATATGTATATATACATATGTATCTGCCATCATCTGCACCGATGGCATAAGTGAGAAAAGCCACGGAGCAGGCAGGTATGGAAACTGAACCTCTGCCACTTCTGTTTTAGCCTTGAATGTCTTGGAGGTGGGTCTGTGAGAAAGTTATGCAATAAATGGCACTCTGACTGCGAAACAAGTAGGTTAAAAACGACAGGCTCACATTGTATCTCTGATGATACCTAAGTTTCTAGTCTAATTTAAGAATCTAAGTGTCATCATCTTGAAATTATAAATCACTTGTGAGAAATGAAGAACAATGCTTACTTCTTTTCTGTCACAAAGGAAGCTGCCGGTAAAATAATTGATGCCTGGTCTGAAAAGCTGTTTCTGTGGCCGGTGTTGCACAGAGCGAGGCTGGTGGAGGACAGCGAAGAGCCAGGGGTACAGCACACCAACTCCCCCAGATGCCACAGAGCAGGGAACGTGGCTCTTAGCAGCCACGGGCAAGCCTGGGCTGGGCTTGTACTCCCTCTCCTTTGGCCTCTTTGGTTCACTTTGCCTGATGAAACTAAACTCTCCAGGACAAAGACTTCTTACATTTAATAGAAGTCATAAATTCTATAAACTAGTCACGCACATGATATCCAAATTAGCCTCTGGTATGCCCCTGCTCTGACGTGCTGCTGTCACATTCATCCTCGAAAAACCCCAGGTGTCGGGATCTGGGAAGAGCTCGCCCTGGCTGGGTGCTTGCCGGAGTGCCTCCAGGAGAGGTGTTCTGCTTCAGGCGTTTGACAGCCTTCCCTTAGAACAGACTTGGCTTGGTGCTTCACTTGTTTTCAATTGTTTCTTGCTTTTTTAGTCAGCGGTTTTAGATTACCAATTTATCTATTACTAATAAAACTTAACGTCAGTCGTCTTGAAAACTTTACTAGCCATTAAGCGAATGTCAATTTAATACTTTATACCCACCCCACATTCTCTAGTACTCCAAATCTGAATTTGTATTTTAGAAGAAAATAGATGATAGCAATTATAAATTCGTCTTGCAGAGGTCCCACGGAAGTAGCTTTAAAGAGCTGGATTTGCAGCCTGATACTGACATACTGAGTAGCTGCCTAAGAGAAGAGCAACTGAAGCTTATGTCTTTAAAAGATGAATACTGAGCTGTATTTATTCAACAATATTGGACAGTTTTAGTGGCTGCAAAACCCCAGGCATCCTAAAAAAATTTAAATCCTGTGTAGGTAGAAAAATTCAGTTATCCAAGTGAAAAGTAATATGCTAGTAGTTATTAACTGCAGTTTGAAACTTGATCACTGTCACAAGCAGTGTGGGTCTTAGAGCGCTTTATGCAAAGCTGCCAAGCCAGTTTTTGTCGCTTTCTGTGCTACAGGTGCCTTGCCCTTTTATAGATAGGGCTTAGTTGGCTTTATGGTGACATAGGACTTATCCCCCAAATTACGGTTTGCTTCACAGGTGCTTGCTGTAGAAACCTGACGATTAATTTTTCCCAAGTCATAGTTTTAAACTTGAGGGTGCTTAAAACAGGGAGTGTAGTTACTGCAAGGCCTTTTTGAGGCTGAATTGTTAGTGAAAAATTAGCTCACATGAAAAGCAAGCAACCAAAGTCTTAGTGGTTATCATTTATATGTAAAAACTTTACTCATAATGTGTAGCATATTGCAATCAAAACACGCTGAGCAGTGGCTGAGCGAGACCTAAAGCTTAGTGTGTTCTGATGAAATCGGAACCAGTGTCCTGACTGTCTCCCAGTGCGGTGGGTTGATTCTTTGGATCGTGGTCTTGCTTGTAAGACTTCGAGCGGTAGTCCGAGATTAATGATTGCTGGCATGGTTGGCAGTCCGCACGTTGTAGGTGTGGAATTACAGTACTTTGTTTTAACCAACCAGTAGCCATTTTAGCACCGCTGAAAGATACATGTAAGAGAGATGTCTTCCCCCCAGATCCCATTCCATTGACTTTTCTCCCTCGCTTGTCTGGAGTTACACCTCTTCCCCCATTATCCTCCTTTGCCTACTGGTAGATGACTGGGGTGTGGGGCTGATTGGGTGGGAAGCATTGTTTCTGCAGAAAGACAGCGTTGTTCAGAGGTGCAGACTGGAGTTGAATGAGGACGCTCTCCTTGTGACACTTACTGCTACTTATGTTTCTGATTTCTACTCTCAATTTTAACCATCTAATGCCACTGTGCAGCATGTCTTCTGTAGCATCAAAAGATGCACTGTGATTGTGAAGTGAAGGAGGGGCTGACTTGTTACAGTACCAGTAATATAATATTTTGGGGTTTTAATTTACAAGATTCAGTTCACAAACATTTCACATTCTAATTCTGTTAGTCCAGCTGTAGAGTAGCTTTTAATCATTGTATAGAAACTGTCTTCACTATTCCTAGGCCTTATCCTAACTCTTTTCATTATAAATGCATTTTGCCTGCTCTAGTGTCCTTGTTTGCTTACAAATGGAAATACAAAATCCTCCTCATCTGTTGCAGAAATCAGTGGACTGATTGCACCACTGAAGGTTGATGCACTGAGTTGATGAACTAGAAATGTTAGGTGACAGACCTTGTACAGTGGTAGAAACTGTGCTAATATACACAATTCATTATTAAAAAAAAAAAAACCAAAACCCAACAACTTACTGTGGGTATTAAAATGGACACATCTCACTGAATAATTAACTTATTTTATCTTCTCCCCCCCTCAGGTCCCAAAACAGTGTTTTTCTGGGCACCTATTATGAAATGGGTAAGTATAATATGCCAGCTGGTGTTTGGATGTCAGTCAGAGGGCAATCTGCAGCAACCTGTTGAGCAAGCAGCCGTTTCCCAGCAGATAAGTGAGCCTACAGAAAGATGTAATACCAAGGCTCTAATTTTTCATATACATGGAGGAACAAAATTAGCCTTAATAACATATAGCACAACATGCAGGGGATACAGTAGAGGAAAGATGCTTTGTGGAAAAATTGTACTCTTCGCTGAAAGTTTCATGAAAGCTTTGTCTTGTGAAACACTAACTGTTGCTCAAGGTGGGCATGAGTTGGCATATAATTCAAAACCATTAAAGCATGTATTTGTTCTGAGATTGAACTGAAGCCAATTCCTAAGCCACAAAGTTTGAAGGCAGGTTTAAGCATATCAGGGTGCAAGGTAATCTTGAGAAAACATGAGGAGCCGCTGCCTAAAGAAGAGCAAAGGCAACTGCCCTTTCGGCTACCAGTAGTGCTCTGGTCCTGTGCAGTTCTGCTTCCCACCTGGTCACACACCTTGGCTATGTTTGTGAACAGGTGAAGTATATGCCTCCTCCTGATTCATTGTACTCCTCCTAGTTGTTGTATTGGTGCAAGTAGAATAAATGAGCTGTAAAATCACCAAGCTGTTGGATCTCCTCGTTTGATGACAAGCAAGGATATAACCTGCTCTTCCTATTGCCAGCTGGTTTGTAAGCTTGCTATTGTGAACCCTGGCTTTTTATAGGCCACAGGCAACATGTTACACTCTAAGCTGTGGCTTGGTTTCCTTGTCAGTCTAAACTGGAGCTGTGGTAACCGTGGTTAACCTTCCCCTTTCTCAGAGGGCCTCCCAGACAACGGGCTCCTCAGCCTGAGCATACAGGCAACTCTTCTGAGCAGGCTGCTCTAACAAAAGAGCTTACACACCGATGGTTTTTCTTTTGTGAGCATGCAGGTAGAGCTCTCCAAGCTCACAGTGAAGTTCTTCACTGAGAAGTTAAACTGACTTGACTTTCCCCCTGCATGGCAAAGGCACATTTACTGCAGTTACCCAAGCGTGCTGAGAGCCTGTACCTCTGCAGCACCACTGCAGCAACATCAGTCCCAGAAGTGAGGCAGCGCACCGAAGTCTGTACCCTTGAAAACTGGTTTCTTGATAGGAGCTGAAGGAGTCCTTAGTGGCAGTCAGTTAATTAAAAGCGTTAGGACTCTGATTTGTGGGATTTGGGTTTTTTGGTTGGGTGGGGGTTTTTTTGTGAACTCCTGTTAACATGAAGTTGTATTTCCAGTAGAGGGCAATAATGCAACAAAACAACTCAAGCAGCATGTTTGCTACTGACGTTGTCAAGTAGATCAGCCAAGCTATTCCTCACTTCACCTGGAAGCTTTCTACTTTTACTGAAATTATATTAAAAAAGAAGCACTTTTACCTCCTCAGATGAAGCTGGGTGAAGACTATATGGTGTCACACCTACATCTTTATCAGCAATATCTTAGCCTGAGCTTTAGGAAGAAGGGCCTTGTTAAGCTTCTAGTTGTTGCAGGAAAACTTTTTTTTTCCCTTTAGCTGCTTTCTTAAGCAGCTGTGCTTAAATTAACCTTGGTCTTAAATTAATACAAAATTGCCACTGCTTGGGATTGTGTTGCAAGGCAGTCGCATCCCCCGTGACTGTGTTCTTATTCGTGCCACAAGGGACTGGAAGTGGATGGTGTCTCCAAGAGTCTAATTGCCCCGCTCATATAATGCATCCCATCTCCTGCGTAGTGCATATAGAATAAGCACGGAGCTACAGAACAACTTCCCCCTTGTAAAGCATTTGATCTGTTACAGGAGGTCCCGGTACTGGGCTGGTGCTCACTGAATTTCTCTTTACAGGGTTTGGTATGTGCTGGAATGGCTGATATGACCAGACCAGCAGAAAAGCTCAGTACAGCACAGTCTGCAGTACTGATGGCCACAGGTAAAGCCAAAGCTACTCCATGCTTTTACACAGCACCCTCTCTAAAATTGTATGCACTTCTTTCCAAATCCTCCATCAGTACTAACCCACTTCTGTAGAAAAGGCTTAACTATAATGTGCCAGCTCTCACTATTGCTGTCGGATGATAATTCTAGGACAGACCTATACTTGTCATTAAATCTGTATGAGTTCTGTGATTATGCAACAGTTTTCTACACATGTCTTAATTTGGAATTGTCCAGAGCAAGTTGTTATGAGTTAGGATAGGAGTTTCATCCCTTGAGTTACCATGATACCACTCATTCCACTAAGTGACCTCTCTTGCTTCAGGTCAAGTAATTTTGAAATCAGTCCAGGATATAGGGACTTTTTTAGAACATACTTTAAGGGATTAAACAATGGTAGGGTAATTACACTAACGTGACTGGAAAGAATTTCCATGTGAAGAACTTGGAAGCAGTGGTACACAGACTGCTGACTGCTGCACTGCTGCCTGCTGTGAATTTTCACACTGGCAGAAACAATATTCTGTACTCGGAGTGTTCCACCAGATCTTGTCAGGGGGCTGCCTCTGTCTTCCTTCTCTGGACTTTATTTTGCAATCTGTGCTGGAGAATTAAGGTCTAGACTAATGTAGAGTACAGAGGATCTTTGCTTGATACTAAGACTATGATTGACCTTATTGTCTAGTTATTTTGGAAAAATGCAATACGTACCTGTAGCTGTCCCACTGGCACTGGATGCGCTTTTAACTGAGAAATGGCTAGTTATAAGAAAAGCTTACATGAAGCTGTAAAACTCGTTTACTTAAACTGATCCATGATTCTGTCTCCAAACTTAGGGAAACATCTGAATATTTCACTTCAAAGTCTTAACATCTTTAAACTTTCCCTTTCATTCAACAGGCCTTATTTGGTCAAGGTACTCTCTAGTTATTATTCCTAAAAACTGGAGTCTGTTTGCTGTGAACTTCTTTGTTGGCTGTGCTGGTGGGTCTCAACTCTTCCGAATATGGAGGTATGTATTAAGAAGGGCTACTCTACATACTATAACTGAGCATTCACACCACCTAATCTTAACCAGGAGTTTAGAAATTTTGCCAGCCTCAATGTCAGTGCAACAGGCAAGGGGAACCAAACAATTAATTAAACGTTGCAGAACTTTTTTGCTGCACTGTTAGTTTTCCAGTTGAGTGGGACTGAAGCTTGAAATATTTTCAGTATAGCTAGAACAGGTTTTAAGGAATGCTGTATGTAAGCTGTAGTTTCTAGGTCTAGGGTATTCTTCAACAGCTGTAGGTTTGATTGACAGACAACCTAGACTTTCTCCTCCTCCTGAGCTTTGCACATCTGTCAGCTTTGTGTTGAATTGTGTCAGTTCCAGCTGCATCAAAGAGTTCTTAAGCAGAGCAGCTTTTTTTTTAATTATTTTTTTGTGAAAAATTTTGTTTTTTTTTTTTTTTTTTTTTTTTCAGTACTGGCCAGGAATGAGGCAAGCTTAGCAACTAATTTGGAACTTCTGTGAACTAAACTATCCTATTCTGAGTTTCCACCCTCAAGACCATTGTAATTTTAAACCTCATCTGAACAGATTGTTAGGAAGACACTGTTACTGTAACTGGTGTTCTATTCTTAGTCTGTGCTTTTTTTTTTTTCCCACCTATAGGTACAATCAGGAACTAAAAGCAAAACAACAAGAGCACCTGCAGCAAAGAGATGCTTAATGCGACACGTCAAATCCAACCACGCACAAACCCTTCCCCATGGGACCCAGCTTCACTAATTTTCATCTTTTTTCCTCTGAGAAAATGAAAGAGGAAATTTAAATGTTTAGAGAGCAAGTGTTTTCTAAGTGCAAATAACAAAGTATCTCCATACATTTAAATAAAGTGCAACCTTTTAAATTGAAGTAGTATTGTGTGTCTTACATTGTCTCTTTAAAAGAAACTGATTGTGGATTGTGCCTTGAATGAGTTGCTGGGCCCCACCTTGTCTGACTGCTGAACAGTGCCTGGAGTGACAGGGTACTGGTGACCGGGAGTGACAGGGTAATGGTGACCGTCAGCCAGAGCCTCAGCCTGAAGTAATCTTTTAATGTTGCGGTGACACCTGGGCAGGGGTGTTAACCATACTTTCAGTAACCAACAACAGTAGCGTTTGCATTTCATTCCCCGGTGCTCTCCCCTGGTAGCATAAGGATATTCCTTTCAGCTGCAGCTCTGTGTATCTTCATTTATTTCCCAGCCACCACTGCCTTTAACAAGATGAGGGCAAACTAGTATGCGCCACTGGTGTTTTAGCTTTTGTCATCCTTTACAACTAGAAGCAGAAAATGGGCACATTTAAGTACCTAGTTCTTGTAAGAGTGAAAAATAAACAGCCAAAACTTCTATTTGTCACCTTCCATCCCCTCCTTAAGTACATACAGATTTCCTGTGAAGGTGTGCACTCAGGAAACATGTACGTTCATGTCAGTTCTCAAGAGCTTTGAAAGCAGTGGTCTGCTCCCATCAGTGGCATGTTTGTGAGTAAACACTGACGCCTTCCCTGAAAGTCAACATCTCTCCCTACTTACTCTCCTGTAAAGAGGAAAAACGTGCCACTCTGATTGGAGCAAAGGTATTACATTACACTGCAACAGCTCATCTGTTACCGAGAAGTAAAAGGCAAGTGTGCCCAGAGCATGGCATCAATGAGTTTTCCTGGCAGGTTCTCCAAGACCTCTTGCACCAAAGCTAGCAAGGACTTAGTACCAGAGAGCAGGAATTTATATCCAGAAGAAAAAGATGACTGTAAGACAGAGTGGCTGCTTCAGGATTCAGCTTTCAGGAAGATGAAGGCCCTGAAATACTGGAGTTTTGCAAAGTCCTCATATTAAGCCTCTCTCCACTCCTACTTCCCTCCAATTCCATCTGAGCTATCACTCCAGCATGGCAAGGGTGGAGAGGAAAGGAAACTGTTCTACAGCTACCAAAGCTACAGCACCTTGTGGCACTGATGTCCTCTCTCACCCTACGTATAATGTCGTATTACCCAGTGCAGAGTGTTTGTGCAGGATGGTTTAAGGAAAGCATTTTCCGTTCTTACAAGACAGGCACCTGAGAGTCTGTCAGCTCCCCTTTTCCAGAGGCCGTCCTGCCATGACGCTATTTCTCTCCTGTGCATATTCTGCTACAGTTGCACTTGCATTTCTTGGTTCTCCTGGCTGAAGTGGTAATACAGGGGGTATCAATTCAAGTGGTGAACTCTCCCAGCTGTGTTGTTTGCTGAGCAAAGACTGCAGTAACTGAAGAATATTGCCAGAGAGAGGGGTGGGTGTATTTCAGTCCTCCTCCCTTCCCAGTCTCTAACCAGATAAGACTCGTCCGGCAAACCAGTAATGGGAAAAAAAAAAAGTGTATTAAAATATTCACAAGATTACAATAGAAAACATGAAAGTCCATTCAAGAAAAAATATCCAAGATAACTGTTTCCAGAGGAGTCTGTAAAAGCAAAAGCACTAACAGTTGGTACACTGGCTCTTCATGTAATCAGGCCATGCAATGCATATCTAGCTCCCTCACACAGATTATACACCTGTCTTACAGGTGTTTGTTCTCTTGCACACCTCCAAGACAGAAGTCTGCACAAGAAAATTACCCAGTCTACGTTTCCAATTACATTTACCACACAAAAACAGCTGGCATTGCAGGGAGACAGAAAACATTGCACAGCACACTGATCTCCAAAGGCATTGAACTTACATTTTAGAGTGCAAAAATACCTTTAAATGAAAGGCCTTATTAGCTTTAGGGCAGTGAAGAGAAGGAAAAGAGAAGCCTCAAAAAGAGTATAATTGCCCAGCAAAGTTAATATGGTTTTGTAGTGTCCCGTATAAAAATGTTACACAGATATTAGCACCACAGGGGTGTGGCCATGGCCCAGAAGTCTTGCCCACCTTCTCGGCTTTGATGGTTTTAAAGGGAAAATATTTCCATCACCTTATACAGCAAGAACATTTTGTATTTGAGGTCCTAGGTAGATACATTAATAATGTAAACTTCCAAGACAAGATTTCAACACAGAGTGGAGGCATTTTGGTTATGAATCAAACAGCCCACACTTCACCTCAGTGAATCCACTCTAAGGCAATGCAGCTTCTAAGCTGCATATACACATTTACTGCAGTTACAAGATGGATGGTTACCTAAACAATTCTCACAGGTTTAAAAGTTAAAAACCTAATTCCAGCTCTTCTAGTCATAAACTGAAATCTCACTAAAGCTTTGAGAGAAAACAAAACCCTACGGGTCTCCGGTTATAAAAGTGACACATCATTCAGTCAGTTACAGGGACATATTTTCCACCCTGCATGCCATTTCATCAACATGCCGACCATCTCTCTCACAGAACAGCTGCTGAAGTCGAAAGGGGCAACGGAGATTGGATGTACTGACTACAGCTACCAATTTACTTAGATTGATACTTTACAATTATTTGTAATCCTCTTCTCAAAATTCCTTTATAGTAACCAAAAATAAGGAAGAATATATTCAATGTTAGTAAAAAGCTAAAACTTCTCCACTTTGCAGTTCTGCTGCAAACAGGGAAGAACAATGATGCCGTTCATACCCTGGCTGTAGGGCGAGCGGCTGGCTTTGCGCGAGAGCCCCGGCTGGCAATCCAAACGGCACTCCTGCAACGGGTAGCAGGTCACTTTGACCCATAAAACACCATTTTTTTCCCCTCAGATGAGAAACTGATTTCAGCTTGATCCCAGTTTTGTTTACTAGACGAATAGAAGAGAATTAATTGCGAGTCTTTTACATCCCACAGACGTTCCCCAGCTCCACTACCCAGGAGGGAAGACCCACATAACGATTCTAGTCATTTACTGCTCCCTCAGGAGAGGCCGCCTACCCCTCAGCTGTGCTGCAGCAAGCCTGCCATGCAGGCCTGCTTTTTAAAATAGACGGTCTTAAAAAGAGCTAGCAGCAGTACTACGACAGGACAACACACTTAGTGTTCCTCAAAGTCCCAGCTGTTCCCTTCCACCTGCAAAAAACAGCATCAGAGAACTCGGAGAACAGCAGTAGAGCTAACAGAGTTAAAACTTCTGGCCACCATAATAATAATAATAAACCAATAAAATAAATAAAAGCAATGGAATGAGATGTTTCCTAAAGTTAGTTAGCACCAGCCAGATCAACATGTCTCCTAAAGTTAGCACCAGATCAGCTTCTTCCTAAAGACAGCACCAGCCAGATGAGCATGTTTCTTAAGGTTAGCACCAGATCAGGATTGAGCTCAGATTCTCCAGTATATTCCGGCAGGAAAAGAAACAAACATTAGTGGCAGACTTCAGAGCCAAGAACAGCCCTGTCTTCTCATAGCAGCAAGTTTTTGATTGCTACATGCATCACATTTCTCCCTCTTACTCTAAAATGTCTGGGAGAAAGATGGTGATGCACAGGGATGAACACAGGCAGATCAAAATCAAGTTTCTCCATCAACCATAAAGCATTCGTTTCTTACTAAGTGTAAAACAAAAGTTACGAAGTAACAGCCTGGTAGTAAAGAAAGTAGCAGCAGCAGGATTCATCCTGATCTTAATGAGGCTTCTAACAAAGGCAGGTATTGTCAGGAAACCAGTGAAGTCTGATCCTGATGAAAGAATATAGTGTTGGCATACTCAGCTTTGTTGGGAAAAAAACCCGCTGTACACAACATAGTTATTGAAGTTGCACTGTCATAATTAAGGGATTATGTGATGTTACAGTGGAATGTAGGCTTAAGTTTGCAAATATCAAGTGAGTGTTGCAAGCTCCAGAGAGGAGAGGATAAGAATTCAAACCAAGTTTTCAAGTGACAAATAGAAGGTCTGAAAAAGCTGTAACATAATTACTGCAGAGATACATTCGCAGACAATACAAAGCCAGGAGCTGCTGGCATACCAGATGGTTGTGGGGCTATTTGGAGGGACCTGGACAGGCTGGAGAACTGGGCTAAGAGGAATTTAATGAAGTTCAAGAAGGAGAAGTGCAGGGTCCTGCACTTTGGGAGGAACAACCCCATGCACCAGTACGTGGCAGGGTCGCCTGGCTGGAAAGCAGCCTTGCAGAAAAGGCCCTGTGGGGGTCCCAGTGGACACCAGGTTGAACATGAGCCAGCAGTGTGCCCCTGCTGCAAAGGCAGCAAATTATATCCTGGGCTGCATCAGGCAAAGTGTTGCCAGCAGGTCAAGGGAGGTGATTATTCCCCTTTATTCAGCACTGGTGAGGCCACACCTGGAGTACGGTGTCCAGTTTGGGGCTCTCCAGTGCAAGAGAGATATGGACTCACTGAGCGAGTCCAGTGCAGGACTACAAAGATGATAAAGGAACTGGGGTATCTTTCATACAAGGAAAGGCTAAGAGAGTCGGGACTGTTCAGCCTGAAGAAGAGAAGGTTGGGGTGGGGGTGATATCATATCAATGTGTATAAATACTCAATGGTAGGGAATGCAGAGCACTACTCTTCTCAGCAGTGCTCACTGGTAGGACAATGAACAGAAATTTGAAAAAAGGAAATCCCACCTGAAGACAAGGAAGCACTTTTTTTTACCCTTTGATCACTCTGAGTGATCAAACAGTGGAACAGGTTGCCCAGATATGTTGTAGAGTTTCCATCTGTGGAGATACTCAAAACCCAACTGGGCACAGTGCTGGGCAACCTGCTCCAGCTGACCCTGCTTGAGGAGGGAGGGTTTGGACTAGACGATCTCCAGAGGTCCCTTCCAATCTGAACCATTCTGTGACTGATTCTGTGAAATAGACTGGACTAGAAGATGAGTGAAAAATCAGAGAGAAGGGGTTATGGCAGACCAAACTGAAAATTTTTTGTTACTACAAAAAAGCCAACATCACATTATGATGTACAAAACAGAAATCCTTCTCCTATATGCGATTCTGAGAAGACCTCAGCTGGAATGCCACTTCCAGTTCTGACCACCAGATTTCAGGATACAAATGGCTCAGCTAAAGAAAGATCTTCTTCAGCAGAAGAGAACAGAGATCCTTAGCAATCTATGAGGAGTTTAATCTAGAAACAAAGAGCTGGGAAATCATATTCAAGTAGTAGACTTGCAGAGAGGAAGGAAATCCAACTGCCCTTCACATCCTCTGTGCAAATAGAGGTTACACAAAAAAACACACATCAGAAAAAGAGTGAAGCCCTAGAATTCCTCCAGAGGCCATGCAGCCTCCACTACAGGCTTTTAAGAACAGATAGAGCATCTCTAAGGAAGTGACAGCGATATAATGGAGCCATGGGAGAGAGGCGAGGGAGCACTACAGCTTCCAGATCCCTTGGGAGCCCTTTTTCATGCTTATATGAAATGACAGAGCTTCAAGGAAGAAATATTTCATTGAAAGGTTCAACAGAGTCTGAGACAACCACCTACAGCTATAGCTTCCTATCCCTTTAACTCACTAGCCCTTAAGTTTTCACAGGTAGACTACCATTCCACAAAAGTCATTAGATCAACACTATCCCTGTACCTTAAAGGACTAAGCTTAAATAGATGGGATCAACACAGAAGCAAACGGTTCTGTGACCTAGGTTACACAGGTCAGGCAGGCCTAAACATTTCCTTCACCTACACTGCTAAGACACACATTTCTGATAGCTAGGAGTCACTACTTGGCTTACAAGACCAAGTGACAGTGTCTAGTTTATATGAGAAGGCAGCTTGCACTGAGAATCTAATCAAGGAAAGATGAATACCCTGTATACATAAAGAACCCTGTGAATATAAAGAAGATACCTTCTTTATATCCAACTCAGAAAAAGAAATTAGGCTCTATAAGCAAAAAAAGAATCTCCAGGTCAATCTAGAATCTTCAGGCATCTTCCAGTTTCTCCATTAATAATCAAGATAAAAATATTTTAAAATTGTGATGCGAGTTTTCACTTTCTCTCTCGTCACACAAGATACAAAAAAGAATATTGGCAATTTGTAAGCAAAATTCTTACCGCATTTCAACATGCAACATTGGTCTCACTTCTGTACGATTAAATAAACTATTTACACACAATACATATATATCTTTCCCTCTGTATCCACATGCATTGGTCCTAGCCTAGGCACCAAAGGCCACATGTGAGTTCTCTGGGTCAGATCTTGTTCAAGCAATTCCAGTCTGAATGTGTGTTTTCCTTTGGATAGCTTAGGATCTCATCTCAGTTCTTCCGAATATCAGCGTAGACCACAGACTCAGACTTGTTAATCTTGTCGCTGTGCTGTCCGCCGGAGTGATCTAACTGCGCGTAAATGACTGGGCCCTGGGAACAGAACAAAAAGGCACAATCAGTACTTTTTGGAACAGACCGTATTGCCCCTCGCTTCCGCAGGGGCTGCAGCAAGACCAAAGCCAAAGCAAGACCACAGAGCTTTTATGACTGCTAGTGCAGGGTCCTGCACTTTGGGAGGAACAACCCCATGCACCAGTACGTGGCAGGGTCGCCTGGCTGGAAAGCAGCCTTGCAGAAAAGGCCCTGTGGGGGTCCCAGTGGACACCAGGTTGAACATGAGCCAGCAGTGTGCCCCTGCTGCAAAGGCAGCAAATTATATCCTGGGCTGCATCAGGCAAAGTGTTGCCAGCAGGTCAAGGGAGGTGATTATTCCCCTTTATTCAGCACTGGTGAGGCCACACCTGGAGTACGGTGTCCAGTTTGGGGCTCTCCAGTGCAAGAGAGATATGGACTCACTGAGCGAGTCCAGTGCAGGACTACAAAGATGATAAAGGAACTGGGGTATCTTTCATACAAGGAAAGGCTAAGAGAGTCGGGACTGTTCAGCCTGAAGAAGAGAAGGTTGGGGTGGGGGTGATATCATATCAATGTGTATAAATACTCAATGGTAGGGAATGCAGAGCACTACTCTTCTCAGCAGTGCTCACTGGTAGGACAATGAACAGAAATTTGAAAAAAGGAAATCCCACCTGAAGACAAGGAAGCACTTTTTTTTACCCTTTGATCACTCTGAGTGATCAAACAGTGGAACAGGTTGCCCAGATATGTTGTAGAGTTTCCATCTGTGGAGATACTCAAAACCCAACTGGGCACAGTGCTGGGCAACCTGCTCCAGCTGACCCTGCTTGAGGAGGGAGGGTTTGGACTAGACGATCTCCAGAGGTCCCTTCCAATCTGAACCATTCTGTGACTGATTCTGTGAAATAGACTGGACTAGAAGATGAGTGAAAAATCAGAGAGAAGGGGTTATGGCAGACCAAACTGAAAATTTTTTGTTACTACAAAAAAGCCAACATCACATTATGATGTACAAAACAGAAATCCTTCTCCTATATGCTATTCTGAGAAGACCTCAGCTGGAATGCCACTTCCAGTTCTGACCACCAGATTTCAGGATACAAATGGCTCAGCTAAAGAAAGATCTTCTTCAGCAGAAGAGAACAGAGATCCTTAGCAATCTATGAGGAGTTTAATCTAGAAACAAAGAGCTGGGAAATCATATTCAAGTAGTAGACTTGCAGAGAGGAAGGAAATCCAACTGCCCTTCACATCCTCTGTGCAAATAGAGGTTACACAAAAAAACACACATCAGAAAAAGAGTGAAGCCCTAGAATTCCTCCAGAGGCCATGCAGCCTCCACTACAGGCTTTTAAGAACAGATAGAGCATCTCTAAGGAAGTGACAGCGATATAATGGAGCCATGGGAGAGAGGCGAGGGAGCACTACAGCTTCCAGATCCCTTGGGAGCCCTTTTTCATGCTTATATGAAATGACAGAGCTTCAAGGAAGAAATATTTCATTGAAAGGTTCAACAGAGTCTGAGACAACCACCTACAGCTATAGCTTCCTATCCCTTTAACTCACTAGCCCTTAAGTTTTCACAGGTAGACTACCATTCCACAAAAGTCATTAGATCAACACTATCCCTGTACCTTAAAGGACTAAGCTTAAATAGATGGGATCAACACAGAAGCAAACGGTTCTGTGACCTAGGTTACACAGGTCAGGCAGGCCTAAACATTTCCTTCACCTACACTGCTAAGACACACATTTCTGATAGCTAGGAGTCACTACTTGGCTTACAAGACCAAGTGACAGTGTCTAGTTTATATGAGAAGGCAGCTTGCACTGAGAATCTAATCAAGGAAAGATGAATACCCTGTATACATAAAGAACCCTGTGAATATAAAGAAGATACCTTCTTTATATCCAACTCAGAAAAAGAAATTAGGCTCTATAAGCAAAAAAAGAATCTCCAGGTCAATCTAGAATCTTCAGGCATCTTCCAGTTTCTCCATTAATAATCAAGATAAAAATATTTTAAAATTGTGATGCGAGTTTTCACTTTCTCTCTCGTCACACAAGATACAAAAAAGAATATTGGCAATTTGTAAGCAAAATTCTTACCGCATTTCAACATGCAACATTGGTCTCACTTCTGTACGATTAAATAAACTATTTACACACAATACATATATATCTTTCCCTCTGTATCCACATGCATTGGTCCTAGCCTAGGCACCAAAGGCCACATGTGAGTTCTCTGGGTCAGATCTTGTTCAAGCAATTCCAGTCTGAATGTGTGTTTTCCTTTGGATAGCTTAGGATCTCATCTCAGTTCTTCCGAATATCAGCGTAGACCACAGACTCAGACTTGTTAATCTTGTCGCTGTGCTGTCCGCCGGAGTGATCTAACTGCGCGTAAATGACTGGGCCCTGGGAACAGAACAAAAAGGCACAATCAGTACTTTTTGGAACAGACCGTATTGCCCCTCGCTTCCGCAGGGGCTGCAGCAAGACCAAAGCCAAAGCAAGACCACAGAGCTTTTATGACTGCTAACGGCACTTTGAAGCAGGTGGAATGAACCCTCGCCTACAAATGAGCTCTAGTCTGCCACCTTGCTCTTATCAGACGAGCACGCCAAACAGCACCACCGCCTCCCGGCCATACCGCTAGGGACGCGTGCTCCTCACCGAAAGCAAAATCTAGAATCCTCTGTTCTGAAAAGCAGCAATTCTTACGTGCTGTGGAGCAAAGATAGATGGCTTAGCTGGATGCATGCCAGATTTAATATTTTTCAAGAGGAACTGTACTACAGATCTACCAGCAGGCAGCCGAGCATACTCCCCGTACTGCCACTCCAGCCCTGCAAATCCCAGCGCAGCGGTACCACTCGGACAACGAGGCAGAGAACAAACCTGCAGCCACCTTACAACACCAGTCACTGCCCAAGCAAGGGATGGGATCAAGACTTACACAGCAGCGAGACAGAAAATACTGAAACAGCGCAGTAACGCAGAATTCTTACCTGACTTTTGAGCCGACCCAGGCAGTCGGTGCCTCCACAGACACACTGGGCACACACGGCCACACACCTTCGTTATATCGGCTGGGGTGCAGTGGAGGACATTACAGCACCATCTCTCAGCAGAGCGTGCAAACATGCCAGCACCTTCCTAAAACACCATGTCCTCCAAAGCACAGCCCATAGGAAAGCAAACTGCAGCTATTCGAGACAGGCTGAGGACAGGACTGCAGCCTACCAAGAGCAGGTACCCAACAAGATAGGTGGGACCTTTAGGGAAAGGTCTGACCTACAGCTCCCATTCTGCACACCCAGACTGACACAAGCACAGAGCAGAAGGCTGCGACCACTTACCAGGTGACCTCAGCAGAGAGACCACAAACACCCCACACACACACCCTGAGCAGGAGGGAAAGGCACTGTCCTATTCAGGAGGTGGTTGGGTGGGTGGGGGAAATTACAAAGAGAGATGGTTTAGTTTGGTTGTGGCTTTTCTAGCAGTTTTTGCTTCAAAACTATCTCATCCATTTAACTCTGTTTCCATTTCACTTATGTCCCAGAAAGAAGCGGCCTTTCACAGGCATTACTCCCACCCCCTTCTCGCCAGTACTTTTAGTATCCCGCTAAATCAGAAAACATCTCTACGGAACTGACCCAGAAATCCTTCCATCCATCTTCCAAAGCAGTTAGGACCCAGAGGTTAAAAGAGACCTTCTGTACAGAAAATTAAGTCCCTGAAGGACTATACCGGGGTACACTTCCACACAGCTGTTTTCCCCTCAACACAACAGCAAAGCATGCACCTGCTAAATGCCTTGTTCTCTTTCCGAGACTCAAAGTTTCTTCCTTCCAGGTAAAACATTTCCCAACTGATAAAGAGTAGAGGAAGGAGAAGGACAGAAGGATGAAAACTTGTGAGCAGATATAAAACGGTGAGTATAAATAATCGACTGAGGAAATGCTCAAAAAAAAGACGCTGACGTCTCAGAATATTCTAAATTTAAAGTCTCATTAGAATAACTTTTTTTTCTTTTTCTGCTGTTGGCTCTCATGTTGGTCTGGTCTCCACCATTATATCAGGATTACATTACTAATTCCAATTAAGAGCCCAGTGTCTATACAAACTTCAAGGCAATGTGACCCTAAGGTCTATTTGTAAGCAATTTTGGAAGTCTCATCTGCCTGAAGCCATAGGTCCAGAGTGTGACAAATTCAGCTCAAGAGAACTTCCTATCAGTTTAAAAAGAAAAAATAAATCTACAACTGCATGAAGTATTCACTATGACAATTCACGTTTAGTTCAAATAATTCTGATAGGTCAATTTTCTACCACAGGAGTTCATTAAGGATCAGTTATCACTATTCTAATCATGCTAGGTTAAATATAGTTATTCTGCTGCAATCATCATGTTAGGTGGTGGTGGAGAGATTGACTGGCATGATCACCTGAGCTAAACCAAACTATCACCATCTCTGTGTGTTCACTATGACCTAAGTAAGCAGTAGATTACCTAACACAGAGAAAAGGAGGATCAAGTATTTACTGTAATGGTCCATCTATTTGATTTGCTGCCAACTGATTTTCTAGCTGATTATAATCATCACCAGGGCCAATTTTCCTGCATCTGATAACTCCAGTGATCTGAATCTTTGTAAAGACTCTTATTCCACAAGCAAAAGCTTCAAAAAAGTCTAAACAATTCAAAACTTTCACCTAACGCCAAATCAGCTCATCCTGACTCTTCAGAACCAGACGACCAACCAGCGCTGCCACATAAAACTCAGCATTCCCCTAACCCTTACAATTTTTCCACTCAGAACTGAAGGGAAAAAAGTAGCTGGTGTACTGACACCTTGTTATAGGTTTGTCAGCAGAGTCATGAATTGCAAGTTACAGCAAAGAAAAAGGAATTGCAAAGTTATACCACCATGGTCTAACAGTGGTCTACAGTATTTTCAGATGTTTTAGATTCTGAAAGAAGTTGCAACTACCAGAGATTCCAGCTCCAGGAAATTTACCTGAAATTTAAGTCAAGATTCCCAGCAGCATGAACTTCTCCTTCCCAGGGTCCTGCGGTCCAGCTCAAAGCCTGGAACACAGCTCAAACAGAGCCTGTTCAGCTATGGCTTAAACCAGAAAAAGCAAAGCCAGAGATTTGCACCTAAGTTAACGTAGCTTTAGTGCTCCTCACCTCTACACTGACAGACCTACCTGCTTAGGATCTCTACACCATACTGCTCCATACATGAGAAACACAGTTCTATGGAATTTACACTTTAAGATCAGCGGTCCTTCAGCCTGCCCAGAAATGAACACTCAGGTACTTTCAAAGCACAAGAACAAATGACAGCCACCTTCGCATACCTTGGCGCAACACACATCTGCCTTCCAGTATGCCTGCTGCAACCCAGACCACCAGCTAAACAAGGACATCCATCTGGGAAACACATACAGTTCTTGCCTTCCTTGGAAATGCTTTTCTCACTCATCTGAGTAACAGTCATGGTACAATACGAGTCACTAGGGAATGATGGCATAGAGAAGAAACACCACATACAAATTTGACAGGACAGAACATAGCTCCCTGCTGAGAAGGGAGACACAGTGAAAACAAGCGAAGCGGATATAACCAGCTGAACACTCACAGAATCAGATAAGCATACTTTCAGCACCCTGGGGCACTCCAGAAAGCAAGATCCACACTTGATCTTGATAAACTTGCAACCAAAACACAAAGCAAGTGCAGGCTCAAGTGCACTTTCAGCTGTGATGTGGTCAAATACTTCATCACTGATTCTTAAACTGATACATAAATAACAAAATGAATAAACTTCATTTAATAAATTTAAATGCCACTCTTCGAGAACAAACACCTGTATCGCTGCTTTTAACTTGCAGAAGCGGGGGCTGTGTATTTATATTCACAGTTCTTCTCCACCAGTGAAGCACGAAGCATTCAGTCACCTCCTACACATCCTACTTGGTAAAAGGCTACAAGGACGTCCACAGGCTTTTACTGTCTGAGGGTAGCACTGACTGAACCACTGGTCTAAAGCTGCCAGGCAATCCCAGACACAAAAGCGCGCCTCAATCAGCAAGCAGCCTGCAACAGCTTCTGGGAACTGCTAGGAATCCGACTATCCGCGTTTCACCTACACCACAGCTCAAAAGCTTGAATACTACAAATAATTTCTTGATTACCCAGAAATAACAGGTTTTATTTATATGTGATGCTAGATTTCAAGTATGTTATTTTGCATGATGATATCACCTATTTTTCTTTCAAAAACAATGGCTAGAAGTCAAAAATGTGTAAATCAATTGCAATTTAGTTTCCTCACTGATTTAAACCATCTGTCAAAAATCTGATCTACCCTGATTTTATTGTGGATCTTTACAAAGAAAAGTAAATATGTTTCCTTGCTGTTCTGTAAAGATCGGGCAAATGCTTAACAGAAGGTAGAGGAACCACTTGCTGCTAGGAATGTTTGCCAAGAAAAGAAAATCCAAACAAAGCTCTCTGCCTGACGGAAGAGATCCAAAACTAAGAAACTAAACTAAAACTAAACAAAACTAAAGCCATTTGCCATATTTTTCCTTTGAGGTCAGGAGAGTTCACACTTCGGATTTTCCTTTAGGAACTTACCAGCAGGAAGACCCTGGAGGACCCCGTCAAGGAATAAGTAGACTGGAGTGACTACAGGAGGGCAAAAGCACACTGACTCTCAGCTATCTTTACAAAGTTTAGATTACCTCTGACATGTTCCTTCCAGCACACTGAGACCCAGAACACGGGGGACACAGAAGGGTGAGGACACAGCAAGTTTTCACACCAAAATGTTACACAGAAGATAAAAGTATTTTTGCTTTCAGGATGTAAGTGCAGAACAGCAAAACTCTTCCTCCACGTAGTCTCAGGGCACTTGCATGTACTGCTTCGTACCATGGCAGTAATTAGATAAAACGTCTTGGTCTTTTGACCTAGGGAAGTTGGCTCCAAGTTACTGCAACATACATCCCACATGTAAGCTTTTTTATTCCCCCATTCTAGACGCCCCTCCCACGGACCAGAAAATTCAAGCTTTACCTAGGCCTTGTAGGCAGCCTGCTGTTACTAGACCCACTCCACTCAAAGTCTGAACTATTTTTAAATCTTGTAACTTCAGTATATTGCCTTTATGTTTAGAGAATAATGGTTGTCTGAAGGCAGCAGGTAACTTTGTCGGCATTTGTGCTAGAACTCTGGAAATACTGCACCTGCCAAGAACAAGATGCATTTCAAAACCAGACTGGAAGCCCAACTTGGGACTTTTTCCAGCTCACTGTTAGCACTGTATTTTTTTTCCCTGTAGTGTTAACACATTAACACACATCTCCATTATTTTGTCAGGAGAAATTAAGAAATCAGGTATGAACTCTGATATAGAAACCCATCGGTTCACACACTTCTCTGCAGCCACTTGCTAAAAGGTGTCTAATTAAGAAAAAGTCCATTTTGGACTTCAACTCACTCAGGATCCATACCTCCACAGGCAAATTGCTGGAAATACGCAAATCAAGAGGTAAGAAACAGCTTACAAATAAGGATATCCTGTACACTGTTAACAGGTAACTATTTATTGCGTAGAATCCCTGTCTGACTCATGCTCTCTCTGACTGATTTCCCACGGGATGTTAAGTCTGGATAAGAGCCACCTTTTTCCTTCCAAGTCAGCAGAACTTTGCCAACAGCAGCCAGCACAAGACAAAGCGTGGCAATTTCAAGCCCACAAAAGTTGGGTGGCTTAGCAGAGGAGTGCTCTCAGCAGCAAGAGGCACCTTCAAACTGATGATCACTGTTCAGTGTTTGCACTGTGCTGGCTCATTCCCTTGTGAAGGAAATACATGCCACAGGGCATGCCCCTTCACAGGGATGACAGAGTAAGTAAAACTCCTCCCCATTGCAATCCTAGAACAGATTAGGCAGCTTTATGGGGTGATTATGCATCTAGTAGACAATGTTGCCTCTACAGCTAACCACTGCCCACTCCTCATCCTTGACAGGCTCTCATCCTTATACTTCACTGCCGCTTGTGTACGGTAACGCGCAAGATCAGAACCATCTTTTTTTTATACATTAGTACAAAAAGGGCATAAAACTCCATCTCAACTAATATCAAGACACTATTCTTTCAATCGCATTCAGCCTTCTACGGACGAGCTCACCAGTCCCAACTTACTGTCCATCCCTTGTTCAGAGAAGACACTTTTACCACCCCCAGCCCTCATCACCTTAACAGACAGCACCTAATTCATCTGTCCCACCCTGCCTTTATCTTTTCCATGCCATCTCCCCCACACTTTGGGAGGATCCTGCTTTGGGAAGCCGCAGGAAGGAGTTTACCTGGTGTGATCTGGCGGGCACGCTGTTTACCAGACCCTCTGTGTCGGAGGGCGACTTCTGCGGAGCCTGCTTAACCGGTGCCATCAAGCTCTCAGATGTACTGCAGCTGACGAGGTGGCAGAGCAGAGTTTGCACGACAATGTTCAAGAGGCACACAAAAGAAAAAAAAAAAAAAAAGAACAAAAACAAAAAACGAGTGATGGCAAGATGAATGTGGCAGATTATGCCAAAGTAAAAATGAACATAACGTATTCTGAAATAAACACATATAATTCTCCATCTCTCCCCAGACATTTTTCTGCCCTTCCTCCCAGAGTCTCACTGGTAAGCAACACACAGGAACAACTATTAACATAGGACAGCAGCTCCTCCAAAACCCCTGTTCCTTAGATATTCCCATTCAACCCAACCTGTCTAAAACCATAAGCGTTTTCTTCACTGAGGCTTCAGACTCAGTCAACAGCAGTAAACAGCAATCGTCTCCTAACTATAAGCTAAACAGCCCCAGTCACAGAGGCAAGTGTTATACCAGTGCTACAGTTAGAGTGAATACTTGCAAGAGCCACCACCTCTCTGTACCAGAAAGGTACTTCCTAACAAACTCCCCACTAGTTCCCTTGCTTTTGGCTAGGCTACAATCCCAAAATAATTCTGCCCGCTCACAACAGACACCAGTCTCTGCAGCAATGACTTTAAGAGTCACACGTGACACAAAAGCTATGTGTCCTGATACAGCTACTTGAATATCAAGTCAGGCAAATCTTGCTTTTCAAACACGAGAACTGTCTTGTAGTAAGAACCAAAACCCCTAAAAGAAGGTTGTCAGTTTTCACTCTCAGTTTACTTCTTTCCATCTGCTTAAACAAGGACTGAAAACTAGCCTGTGACAGACAAAGAAATGAATACCACAGAGCGAAGTATATGAGCAAATGCCCTTAAACTTAACGTTAGTAGCTTCCAGGCAATGCAGTAATGGGTGTCTAAATGCTAGGTCTACCCCCTTGTACCCAAGCACCCAGGAAAGAAAACTAGCCACCTCCTTGGCAGCAGACACAGGAGTTCCCTTTGTTACCACAACCCTCTGACCACTGGGCATCCTTTTCCCCCAATCTTTGTAGACAGACAGTGTACAAAGCACGTATAGAAACAAACAAATGAGGACAGTGACATTAAGCAGACCACCTCCTCACAGGGCAACAATTTTTTATCCTTTGGTAAGTCTAACCACAGAAGACTTAGCTCCTCATACATCCAGCAGTAAGAAGAGGAAAAAATAAAATACTGCCCCCACCATCATGGCAAGAGGCTTCTACTGTCTCAGAGACAAAGCAGCCCTTCTGCTACCAAAATTACATACTCATGAATTGTTTGCTTTATTCACAAAACTCCTCAGATCTACACTATCTAAAAGTCGTAATTCAGGTTTAAGCAATTACTGCACTTGGATCACTGCAGGTTTTCAAACACTCAGGCTGTCTGAGCCAGAGGAACACTTTATAGGTAATTTACTTTTATTCTGACACAGAAAGGGCTCTGAATTCTGTGAATTTCCTGTGCTTTAGTCAATGCACTGGTGAGTTCACTGCTGGAAGAGATGGAGGGACACCATCCAGGATAAACAGCAATCCCATCCCAGTTAGACATGAGACAATGAAACCCAAGCACCCAGTGAAATGCATCGTCCCTCTGTCAACAGATTGCAGCACAAATTGCAGTGAAGTTATGTTAGTAGAGAACTAGCTGGTTAGTCAGCAAAGGAAGAGGAAATGTGTACACATACACACAGGTATTAACAGCAACCACCAACTTGATTAGTTACCATGGTGTCTAGTGGGACTGGAAGAGAAGACCCAGCCCTGTTACATTCCCAATCTGGCGTCTATATCAGGATCTCTGTAAGGAGAGGAAGGTAAGCAGGATCCGATCCCAGCACACCAAGGCAGAAAGGAAAAAAAAAAAACAACAAAAACAAAACACCAGAGTCAGAGAATGAATGGAGACCGTGGCCATGCAGGGGTTCCAGATGCCGCGCAGTGCCCCAGCCCACCTCAGTTCAAGGCAGAATGGTTATCTAAGAGTAAGTGCATCTCACCACCACCACCACACACTGGGTTAGCATCATGTAGAAAACAGTCCATAAGCTTAGAGGGGGTCACAGCACACTTGTTTTCTCCTTACACGTCATGCAGAGCTGGCATGGTCAGTGAAAGCAGTATTTAAATTTCAGAAGTTACTTTCCCAAGAGAATAGTTAAATCTACTACAAGAAATTACAGTGCATAAACTACTGCTCCAGGCTCAGACTGGAGAGCAGCTCTCTGGGAAGCAAGGCAAGCGGACCACCTCACGCACACAGCTGGTGCATGACACTGCAGGCTTCTTTTCAGTTCTTAGGGGCAGGACACATGCAGAAAGGGAAAAACAGGCTTTCCACACAATTTTGAGCACACACAGCCACCTCTGCTATATTTATCCTTACCATTGGGCAATAAACAACTCACTTTCTCTAAGTTCTCCAGCTGGGAAAATGACAGGGCAAAGTTTAATTTAGAAATCCCCTTAAGTTTATTTTTGGAGTTATTTTCTTTTATCCCAGAGGCAACCCAAAGAACCTGCGGGAAGCAGGAATATTTGTTGGGGAAAGAACAGAAGAAAGTTGTAAGTTTGGGGTTTGTTTCCAAGACTACATACATAATTTTCATTCTTTCTTAACAGAAGTAAATTACCAGCTAATTAGAGAGGAGAAAAATGGAAGTGCCTCCCCCTCCAGCACCAAGCTCCATCACCACAGGATTCAAGTCTGCCTTTGTTACTTCTTGTTGCTTTTTCATATGCCCACTCAAAGATCTGGCCTTCACTTTGGAGTTATCCTCCTAACACTAAAAACCTTGCAGGGACTGTAACAGTTAACAAAAAACAGACAGTGAATGAGAATGAATGCAGAGTGGCTACTCCTTCCTTACTTTGAAGTGTGGTGATGAATGGGGTTTTGGCAAGAATACTCCAGGCTCAGGAGCCAGACACTGGTAACTGAAAAATCCAGTCTTAATCTCAACACAGAGCATTCCTTCAAAGTGTACATGTGGCACTTTTCCTTTGGGGGTTGGAGGTGGTAGGGGGAAGCAGGGCTGGAGGGAAGGGGAACAGACCAGAGCTAGGGGATCTTGGATTAAATGTTCTTAGGGCATATCGGCTTGTGGCTGGGGATCAGCTCCAACATTTGGTGATTTTCAGGTGCAACTCATGGTCAGTAGGTCTTTTCAAGCACAGCACAAACATAATCATTATAGGCAGATGACCAGTGTTCCACATGGCCACATCCTATCTCTAGCCATGGTTGTCGAGACTTGGCTGAAACAACTCCTACCCCCCTAAGCCCTCCCTCTGATGCTGCTGCTGTTCCTCACATCATCCACAGGTGAGGAGGGAGATCTCTTACCCAGAGTATCGTTTTTTAGAGTTGTTCTTTCTGATGACAAGACACACGACAATAGAGATGAGCGGTGAGAGACCTGTAACCGTACCGATGACTATCCCTGCCACCATGGCAATGGGGAACGCAGGCAGGCTGTCTGGGGAGAGAAGGGAGAAAACATTCAACTCTTCTGCATTCCCTGATTAACAGAAGTGCAAACCACAAATGCTCTTGACCTTGGGTTTGTTTAGAGCAGAGGCACTAATGTAATATCCAGGAATTGTAACATGCAGCCTAATTGGTAGTGATAGCAGGCAGCCAGCAGAATAACATATGAACAGAGCACACACCAAGAGTGTTCTTAATGCCACTGTCCTTCAGAAGAGACTTTATATTGAACCAAGAATTTTTACATGTCAGGGAACACAAGTGACAATGAGGACAACTCTGTCTCATTTTGTATCTGAAAAGGGAAAAAAAAAAAAGAAGTTACATTCATCTGGCAATTCCCACCGAGGTCAACAGGAAAAGGCAGGCACACTTGAAAGCAGATTTGAACATAGCACCCTGCTAACCAACTATGAGCGCTGAAGGCTGGGTGTTATCTGGGTAGCACACAACAGACAGCCTAGTTACTACCCATGAGCACTCTTACGAGTGTTTATATAGGATTCTGGTGTCTCAAAATACATCTCTATGTATTTTTATAGAGTCGTTCTTTCCTTTAAGCCAGGATCATTGTCCGATACTAGAAACATGCTGACAGGAACACAGTATTGCTTTATTCACGTTTTCCCCAATATAATTTTGGGGGAGGGTAGGCCAAGAAATAGCAGCCAGAAATAGAAGTCAGAGAATGAGTACAGAAGACTCACAAGACAAAGAATACATAGACCACCCCTATCGCCTTTCCCAGTAAGAAACAAAGTCACTCCCTCCCTCCCCCTGCATCATGTTTAATGCAAGGAACACCTTAGACCAGAGGGTTTCTTACAAGACTCCATGGTACACTAGCTGCTTGCACCAAATGCAAGTGAATAAGTTTAAGATCAAAAGGTAAAACATTTTATATGGAAAAACCTTTGTCGGCTACCTGCAGCTGATCATCACAGAATCATTGACGTCAGAAGGGACCTCTTGAGATTGTCTAGTCCAACTCCCTGCTCAAGAAGGGTCAGCTAGCACAGTTTGCTCAATACTGTCCAGTTTGGTTTTGCCTATCTCCAAGGATAGGAGACTCCAAAACCTCATTGGGTAACCTATTCCAGTGTTCAAACACAGTAAAAATGTATTTTCTTATGTCCGGAGAGAATTTCCTGTGTTTCAATTGACACCCATTGTCTCTTTTCCTATCCCTAGAGACCACTGAAGAGCCTGGCTCGGTCGTCTTTAGATCCCATCAATGTACACAAATACCTGGTGAGAGGATTTCCCTGAGCCTTTCTTCTTTTTTGCAGGCTAAAGAGCCCCCCTTCTTCTCCTTTGCAGGCTAGACAACCCCAGTTCTCTCAGCATCTCCTCGTATGAAAGGTGATCCAGTCCCTTAATCACCTTAGTCGCCCTTGCTGGACTTGTTCGAGCACAGACCACGCTTACACAAAGCATTCCCAGCAAGTTTGCAGTGTGTAGACCAAGCCCATTTTGACATACTTATCTAAAAGGGAGCAGACCAACACAATACCCTGAAGCGGAGGCATCATGCTAAGAAAACAGGGCTTACATTTAGTACTGTTCATGTTGAGTTCAATGACTTTCAGGAGAAGGGCTAACCGACCTATAGCTGTTTCACTGATCATACCATCGTTTGGCCAAACATCGCATCAGCAGCTTTCCTAGCTCTCCAGTGTCAGATTCCCAATTCATAACAATGTGGCAATTCCAAGTCTTCATAAGGAATTAAGGACGAAGACATGAGTCCCACAATTCAGAGGAAGACACCCCTGCTTTCCAGAACCTTTCGGCAGCCCAGAGATCCACCTGCTATTAAGGAAGAGAGCCCTACAAATGGTGATACTTTTCAGGTACACAAGACTGAGATTGTGTTTGAGCCTCATGCAAAGATAAACCTATTTTGAGACATAAGAGAAGTAGGATTTCCCTAGTTCCTGTGCTTTTTCACCTTTTCAAGTGCAGAAATAACTGTCTGCAAAAGCATCAAAACAGAGATGAAATTCTGTCAGCAGACCACCTGTTGCCTTGTACACAAGAAAAAAAAAAAAACCACACACATTTTTTCACAGCGAGCAAGTAAGCGCAACCCAAAACTATAGTGCAGAGTGTCTGCTGAAAGAGTGATATTAAAAATGTGGCACCATCTAATCTGCTCGTTTTGTCATTTGACTCAGGTGGGGTTTTTTGGTTGGTTGAATTTGAGTAAAGGACAGCAGTTATGTTCTGTTGACAGAAGTTTTTAAGACTGTATAAAAGAATGCAACTGTTTTCACGTGAAACTAGAGTCTGGCTTTATTGGCTCTCAGAACATGGTCCAACAGACTACAGAAAAGCTCACACAATTTTATGATCACATAGTTCAGCTGAAGAATGTCTCCCCCCAGTTTTTCTTATATTTTTCAGCACTCTACAGTTACATGAATTCCTCAGAAGTACTTGCAGAGCAGCCAATGACTTCATTGTACAGAGTCCCAGCTACATAACCAAAATGTTAGCTTTCAGAGCTGGTGTTAAGTTAATAGCTTAACACAAGCCTTAACCCCAGCCTTTCAAATAACAATTTTCACTATGTATCATCGTAATTCAAAGCAACTTCCACTGTCACTGAAAGCATGTTAGCATTATTTTTATGAAGCAGGCAGGAAACTGAAGTTTTCCATTGCTGCGAAGCATAAAGATTTTCATACAACTCTAATTTCCCCCCCCCATGAGAGTTCAGATCAAAGATGGACTACTTTCAGATAACACAAGCTGTCCTGAACACAGTGTTAGGTAGCTTCTTACTACAAGTAGGGGCAGCCTAACATAAGGACTAGGAATTCCCTACAAATTTCTGTCCTTTACAATCTGAACAGTAGTCCTTTCCAGATTCAGATGCACTAGTGACAGAACAGTCTTACTTCTCATCCCTGCCAGCACAATTCTCCCAACACAGTTGATGGAGCTGTTTGTGCAAACACTATGTAGACACTGTAATGAAAATCAGCGGAGTTAGGTTGGCTTGGCAATTTTAAACAGTTAAGCCAACCTGGAACTTATTAAATGTTTAATCCAAAATCTAAGGCTCCCCAAGCATAGAATTCCAGCATCACAGAATGCTTTGGGTCGGAAGGGACCTTCAGAGGTCATCTAGCCCAACCCCCCTGCAATGAGCAGGGACATCTTCAACTGGATCAGTTGCTCAGAGCCCCGTCCAACCCGGCCTTGAATGTCTCCAGGGATGGGGCATCCACTGCCTCTCTGGGCAGCCCGTCCCAGTGTTTCACCACCCTCATTGTAAAAAATTTCTTCCTTACATCCAGTCTAAATCTACCAGCCCTTAGTTTAAAACCCTTACGCCTTGTCCTGTCTATCTTTGAGATCATTTAAAATGTGTAAAGTACGTATGTAGCTTTGAACAGTTCACAACACCAGACACATGATTCAGAACAATTAAATGTATACATAATAATAATAAAAAAAAAAATACACAAGAGTCAACATGTACTTGTTTCAATTGAAAAAAATTTTCCAGCTCAGTTCAGGATGAGTTACAACCTATTATAAGAGCAGTAATTTCAGGCAAGTCAGAATGCAAGACAACATCACAGCTATCGCTTGAAAACCTGTTTTCAAGGTCTTGCTAAGAATTTGAAGACAATTGTTGCAGCATTTTTCTCCTGACGTGAAGTACTGTCAATACAGGGCTCCCTTCACAAATCTCTCTTCTCTTGTCCAGATGCTCCACCTATGGGGAAGCCCGCATGCAAGTCTGTTGAAAAACAGCAGCTGAATTAGTGTACTGAAGTCGCTCTTCATTTGCTTAACCTGGGTTAAAACCTGAAGAGGCTTTGCCAAGACTGCCTGACTTTGCCAAACCAGCAGTTGCTATACCGCTTCTTCATAGAGACTATCAATACCTGGTAAGAAGATAAACTGACCCTATTTTACACAGACTTCAAACTTCCAAAAAACAGAAAGTTCTAAGTGATGGTAGGGCCTCCAGAGATCTCATCCAGCTCAAACTGCTCTGTAAAGGGAAGGGTTAGATATAGACCTTGCCTACAGAAGTACATGGAATGACCTCATGAGCAGGGGTACACACTTGTTATAGGAGCAGTATCATTCTAATTAAAGCATACACATAGGTATCTTCCCTAACATATTAAAATCTAATGGAATAGCTGTATCAGCACTACCATTCATGAATACATTTATTCTTGTCCTTATTAAATACAAATCTGGAAATCTGATCACTGTAAGTACCATTTCATTGTAGGAACAGTCACACTTTGGCTGACCTCCAGCTTAGCCAGGACAATCAAATGTTTTGAATGGCCAAGGCAAATAAAGAGACAGATTGACATACAGAATATAAGTGCTCTTCAACTGTCATCACTGTCACCAAATGCTAATCAGAAGCCTTAAATGACTGCAAGTAGCTAGCCCTCACAGTTTATAAGGGTCATCATGGATACTGTAAGAATGTCTGAGTAAAAGAGACTGAATGAACATCCAACACAAACACCTTCGCATGGAAGACAGTAGCATTTCATTGTCTGTCAGTACGTGCTCGGGCCAGATTATTAGTGCTGTTTTCCAGTATATGTGCTGGATGGGCTCCAAAAAGAAGAGTCTACAACTTTCTCTTCTCGATCCCGAGATTTGAAAAGTCATCCTAACCCTTGATGTAGCATAATACGGAAAAAGAAAATACACAGGACTTTGAAATGAGAAGATGGGCTTCAGCATGGCTTCCATCAGCTTTTGCTAATACTTGCTAAAAGCACAGGAATTAGTGGGTATAGAGGAAAAGGGTATGACATTCAGTTTTTTGAACATCTGAGAGAATATTGGTTCGATTATTAGGACCTGGAAAAAGAGAATTTAAAAGACAGCTGTTCTCTCCAGGCTATTCCCCCACCCCCACAAAAAGTGATATAGACACAGAAGGGAGGAAGGCAAAAAAAATAAAAGGGAAAGAAAAAAAGTGATATAGGGTGAATACCTTTCTCCACAACTCTAACTCGGATTTCTCCTGGTTTGACCACAATGTCAGGTGGGTTCTTGACATCGCAAATGTAAGTGCCGTTGTCCCGGAACTGCATGTTTGATATACTGATAGAAGCATCTTTCTTGTTAAGATCTCCAGCCCAAGTGATCCTGTCTTTAAACGGTATGTCCTTTCCAAGGTATGGCTTTCCATTAAAGTAATAGAAAAACTGTAGTCAAGAAAAACAGGATATAAGAACGATCCAATTAGAGATTACAGAGCTGCCATGCTTCTCTCACTATTACAGCATTCTCCCAGAATCCACTGAACTATACATAGCTAGGATTTGATATTTTTTTTCCTCCTGTCTCACCACTTTAGTCTGGCTTGTTGCTTCCTGATCATACAACCATGCTATGGCTTACACCTCAATCACACTACCCCACCAGACTGCAAGTTTCAGTTTTCTGTTGGTTTTGTTTTGGTTTGTGGTTGGATTGTTTGGGGTTTTTTTCTTGCTTTGGGGGACACGGGGTTTTGCAAACAAGCAGGTGGGGGGAAAAGGCTGGCAACCTGGGAATGATTAAAGGACAGAACAGTGCTGGACCACAGCCATCTGTCTGTCAGGCACAGGAAGCCTTCTGCATCCTAGCAGGAAAAAGATACCACATGTCCTACCTGTGTTTTGCTGTGGGTTACCTGCAAATACAGCACAGCTAAATTAACATGCAATACCCTCCTTTCCTCCACACGCCAAAAAATCTCATCAGCAATTTAGACTGTACCTAGCTGTTTTCCAGAAACCTTCACAGTGACTAAACATAACTGTTTCCCAGTTTTTAGGTGAGTAAGTTTCATATTGGCCCTGCACTCCCTACACATGACCAAAAATCCTTGAAGAATGAAACTCTTTAGTACAGTCTGAGGAGAAACTACGTATTTCCTCACTATACGTGACCAAAATTGGAATTTACAGCAGTAGAATTGCATAGACCTCTACAGGACAACTCTGCTTTCAAACATATGGGATGTCTGAACACTGGCCATTAACCCTAACGGAGCGATCAAGGTTATATTGGAGGAGCACGTTCATTCTTCATTTCACGTTCTGAAAGGGAGCAAAACAACCTAAACTCAACTAAGAATCCACTCAAACTCTCCTCAGTTCAGTCTCCAGAGCAGAGGATAAAGAAATTTAAGACACTATTCCAGCTTCCTCTTTCTACAGCCTTCTTTATGAAGAAGTCTCACTGGCACAGATCAGACTGGTTACAAGCCAGTCCTCTTTCCATTCAAGTCATCTCCCGTTTCTTTTCCTGTTCCTACCCTTGATCTGAGGCTTGCCATTCGAACACCTTTTCTATCAGACTCACACTCTGAATATCAGGCCTGATGATTTGGCAGCATAAACCTTATCCAGATCAGTTATGTGCACACCGTCTGTTGTGCTGCAGTCAATCTGACACTTATTTGTTGTCTACAAGCTAGCATAAATCCAACAAACTATCTCATCTGGTAGGAATTCCGCTGGCACACAGTCATCTGTCAACATTTCGGAGGAAGTCTGCATCAGTCTGCAGCACTTCCAGCTGGATTGTAACGTTTAGCACAGAGGCACTGCACTACCACACCCCTGTGCACGAGGGGAGTCATCCAACTGGAAGTCTAGAAGGCAAGAGGCAGATCCCTCAGCTCTCTAGGTGTCCACACCTGGGGGAGGAGAAATCACAAAGGAAAACATGTCCTGAAACACAAGGTAACTGACTCAAGTCACTCCGTGCCTATGATTAAGTGATTTAACATGAGACTTCTTTTGAAACCTAAAGCTGATGGGTTTAGACTGGTTTAAGGCGGTTGTGAAACTCTGCTGTCATCAGACGTTTCACTCACAGTGAGACGTCTCTATAACCAAGCATGTGGAGGGGGAAGGGGACGAGCAGGGGAAGCTTTCAGTCAAATGAGCCTCACCACATGGCCACAAGATTGCCAGTGCTGATTCGAAAGAGGCACAGGACCAACATTTTCAGAAGCATGGACTTAGCTCAAACGTAAGCTGATCATGAGATTGATCTTTCACATTAACGCCCACCAAACCATGTAACTAACATGACTTTGGATCATAAAAAAATCTTCCCTCTATAGCCCCGCCAGCTCCTCAAAAGAAACAGGGAATTAACATCAGATCATGCTGGGCCACTTCTGCTCGAACATAATTTGCTTTTCTCTCACTTGTGCTGCTAACTACATACAGGTAGAATGTCTAAATTGACTTCATTTCCAGAAAAATGTTATGTCCTGAAGTTGTATTTCTACAATGAGGAGTTTGGATGGTGATGCAGAAACGGAAGCAGAAAACAGGATATATGGTGGATATTTCTATGGGGAGCGGAAAACACACAAACAGGTGGCTTCCTTTCACCCATCCTGTTCAACAGTGTCAGGAAACATGCCCTACTTCCTTGAGCTTTTGCCCAGCTACTGCTTTGGCATCCCAAGGAGAAGAGCTCCCTTTCCAAAACCAAACACTTATTCACTGAGAGTTCAGAAGCCGATTCTTCAGTTCTACACATTGAGCAAGACGCTTGTACACTGTTCTGGATCATCTCTATTTCGAGCACTGAAGGGCTTCTAGAGTTGAAACAATCTCATGTCTGCAGCAGAAGGCAGGAGACAAACACTAACAGGCTGAGCAACCTGCGGTCCCCACACCTTCCCTGCTGTCCCAGAGTCCCTTGCTCTGCCTCCTCCAAATTCTGGCTCAGGGCAAGGAACAAGAGCGAAGTAGAAGCGTCAGAAAGCTCAGACTCAGATGTGCACAGCTTATGTGACAAAGGAAGAAGACAGCTACCAACCTACCAAAGCCACTTCTTCGAAGGTTCATACCCAACGGGTCTGAGCACACCTGGGCTCAACACACAGGACATGAGTGATGGCAATTATTATCAGCCTAAGTTGCTCGCTACACTGATTTTTTACTTGTCAAATAACTAAATATGAGGATGTAACTGCTTATCAATTTGAGCAATTCAATTCTGTTCTGAAAACAGGGAGACTGGTCTTATTTTAAGCCCTTTCAAATAGAGGTTGAACAGTACACAAGCAGAAAATAAGCAATACACACAACACACAGTGCAACTCTGCGATAGTGGTCATTCAAATTCTGTGACTGCTGTCATTCAGTGCACAGATCTGCAGCTCATTTCAAGGGCAAGAGGATACAGAACTTAGGAAAAGATTCCTAAATGCTCATCAACTTCATACATACTGCTACCACACCAACATTCCCCTCCCCTGACTAACAAAGTGCTAGTATATTTTACAGCTGCTGCACACTCCAGCCTTGGCAGAGATCAAGTATATAACAATACTTCTAAAAAACTCTAAAAAAAGACCCCCTAAAATCAAAGTGATGGAGACAAGACACACGGAAGGAGGCTCCAATCTGTATTTGCTTGCTCCTCAGAACCAACTAGAAGACCTCTGCACACTTATCACAGCCTCCCCTCCCAGGTTTGTTCCCCTGCAGCCGTTCCTTACTGAGATACGAGTTGCTGCTCCCTCTGGTTGAAAACTCCAAGAAACCGATGCTGCGCTGCTGATCACTTCCACAGATGTAAACGTGCACGGAAGCTTTGCGTCTGTCCCATTCTCCACAAATATCTCCTCTGGTGTGTTGACCTCTACTGCTGATACTTGGACTGTATGGGAAAGGTAAAGAGAAGAAAGAAGGAGAACAAGCGGCATCAGTGCTGTTTCAAGAATCAGGAAGTTGAAGTGGTAACTGTCCATATCACACTGCTCATAAGGGGAAAAGAGAAGAGACATCAACAACTCCTACATCAAGTGGGTGCACAGACATTGCATCATACCTGCAATACAAACAAGTATAGAGCAGGCCAGTTCTCTTTCCTTGTATTATCTGTTACAGGATGTTTGCCATCCACAGATGTTTCCTCTACAACAGTTTCTGGAAGTCAATTCTGTGGTGCAAAGGATGAGTTTAAAACTCTTTCCTACTAGCTGCCAGCAGACAATGTAATAAATAAGCCCCATCGGAGGAACTAACATCTTGGACCCACCTATCACTCAGTTTCCTCTCCAGCTCACATCTTGTATCCCATCTCCAGTTTTACTCAGCTGTAGGCAGAACAAAAGCTCACCTCCAGAAAGCTCTCTGGCTCCCAGCTACACCATCTGCTTCTACTCTCTGGCATGCTTCAAGGTCTTCATGTGCAAGACCTCCTAAATAACCACTCAGCTATAGTTGAGAAGTATGAGAGTAGTTTAATTTTTTTTCTACCATGAGGATTATGCACGTTCAAAAGAAGCAAACAGAGTAAGTGAAACTCAGCATGATTCAGAAAAACAGTCCAACATATTCCTCACCTGGCACCTTTTAAATTGCAAAGACACTGTCCCTATTCAGATTTAAGCAATGATACATCAATACATTAATTCAAGTTTATGTTAAGGAGCAACACGTGATCTTGCGACATCACAAAATAATGTCTTTCAACAGCTCTGTGAAAGCAAAACTCTTGTAAAATCACTGTGGGTGGGTGTGCATGCGACGTGCACCTGGTAACTCAAATGTAAGTTCTGATTTTTATTAAACCATGGTTTTCAGCATAGAGATGGTACTAGTAATCTGCTTCTGATCACAGGATTCTGTGTTTCTGGGCTACAATGTGTTAAATTCAGGGGTTTTCCTCACTTATTAGCAGAGGAAAGCAAGCCTTCCTGCTTCTTCGGTATCTTAGCTGATTATTTCTCAACTTTGAACAAACTAGCTCTTGAAGTAGGCAAACTGAAGACAAAGATTCCAGTAGAAGACAGTTTAAAAACAAAAAAAAATCTAAAACAAGTAAGAAAAACCCACCTACATTAGCCCTTAAATCATGGCATTCATGCTTTTAGTCAGTGAGAGCTAGCAACTAAGTAGCTTTCAAAAGTTAGCAAGCTTCCTTCAAGTGATAGGTGTAGATTTGCCACAAACTAGGTTATTTTATTTGAGCTTAAAATTAAGAAAATCCCACGCTCCACGGAGAATTTTAAAAAACATCTTTTACATATGCGAATTCAAGCCTCGTTCCCCAAGAAAGCAAAGTTCAGGTCAGCTGTGCCACTTCCCGTCTTCCTCCCGAGACCACTGAGTCTGTTGGGCAACTCCAGCTGACCGGCTGCGGCACGGGGCCACGAAGACCACAGGCAGTGGGAGCTGGCCCTGCGACACAGACCGCCTGCGAGCTCCAGGGCTGCAGCTGAGTCAATGAAACGGCCGAACAACGAAAGAGGTGAAAACACCCCGGCCATCTGGGTACACCCGACAATCACTACATGCATGGCTTTGTAGGAACCGCTGCCTCTCACCCGACCAGCATGGCAAGCCAGGGGAAGGCAGAGCACATGCCCAGGGGACAAGAAACAAGCACGTAAGCACTGCAGGGGTGGGAGAATGAAGCATACCAGTTTAATTACAATAACCAAAACCAGACAAAACTACCATTCACTCAGTCCGCCACTCGGAGCCCACACTGTTCACTTCTCAGACTCACTACCTCCTCAGTCCTGTCAGGTTGCCCCTGATCCCTCGGACTCCCCTGCCATCATCATTCTCATTTCAAACGAGTGGAAGAGAAACAGCACCCTAAAGGAGGAGGATTTTCATCAAGAGGTTGTTGTATCAGAGCTTCCTTTCTCTTGTACATGCTCTGACTACCGGCCAAAAAACATTCTTTTGTAAAACAACTACCAAATATTTATTTGGAACATACAAAGACTTCTAGCAATTCCATGAAAGGAACTCAGAGCTGCTATGCTTTATGTACTTTTTCCAGTTAATGGAGTAGAAAAGAAAAAAAATAAGAACCATTGTTTTGAGTCCAAGCCACAAAACAAGCATCCCTTTCTAGCATTAAACAAGCAAGATGTCCTCAGCATTTGTGTAGGAGGAAAATACTCTGCATAGACATTGTCTGCTTGTACGTGGTACAGAGAACTGCTTGCCACACACAGGCAGTGGGTAGCACAGATCCGCTTAATCTGAAGAAGTCACTGTTCTAACTCACTAGCAACCATGAGAGAACTGTAGCAAAGCAAAAGCAAAAAAAAACCTGACTTCTCCCTACAGTCTAGGAAGGCAGGAATTACGTAATATTGTACAGATATTTCCAGCAAGTCTAATTTTCATATGTCCTACTGTTGTCTCAACTTCATGTTTTTCTTTGCTCATTCTCTCCTCCCAGCACAAAGTCCCTCACTTTATTTGCTCTTTCAGTGTGCACCACTTCAAAAAACACGTTTCCTGTCCCTTTTGTCTTACAGCATGATACATAAGCTCCTCAAATATTAACGTGATCATTTAGGAGTGGTAGAGAGGCCATAACATTTGACGCTTGCTCACCCTTAGCCCTCCACTCCCATACTTTCACTGATACAGCGGCAGTTTCCACTACCTTGAACTCTTTGGCCTCCTCTGTCGTAAAAAAATCCATGTGGATCATCTCCAGCTCTAGCTCTTTTCCTTCTCTTTCCACATTTGCCAGGATTACATCCTTCTTTCAGGTCCTCAATCTATTTAACTACTTCATTTGGAGAAAGTTGAATTTTGAGTCATATTCCAGACACAATTACCCACTGCTCCATTCTTCAAACTTCCTCAGCCTTAGTTCCTCTCAAGAGGAAAAAATTTATCACTGTGAGAGAGAAGCCAGCTTTAGGAAGGGAAGGTCTGCAAGGTACACAGGGAAAAGATAAACATTTGCTCTTCTCCCATAGCTCCTCCTTGATCCCATCATGCTGTCCAACTGCCTGTAGCCCAAATACATCCCTCTGAATACCTCTTCTAGTCCTCATTCACTTTTATTCTTCTTTTCAGCAGAAGGATGCTTCTGTTTTTCTCATCTACCATCAAAATTGTTAGAAAAAAACACCTGTGCCTCTTCAGCCATTTCTTTTTCATCTCTAGCGTTGTTGGACCAGTTTTACCCCAGTTACATCAACTCTCATCAGCTAAATTTTCAGCCCCCACACTCTAATGACAAGACTCCATCCTCATCTTCCTTCTCAGACAACCCTCATATTCTTGAAACAGGACAGGACACTCAGACTCTTACTAACTCATTAATCTTACTACTCTTACTCACTTACCAATCTTCTCTCACTGTTCCCATAGCGGGTCTTCATTCCTCATCGACGCTCTCTCTACTCTCAGGTCTCTCTTTCCTCAGTATCTTGTCACAGGGTTCTCATCTGCAAACAAGTCCAGCTCCCATCACTGCACTGACTACTCAGATCTGTGTCTCTGCTCTGCATCTGTCTCCTTATGCTCAAAGAACAATCTCAGTCTGACACCTTTGTCGATGCCAAGTTGTCAGCTCATGCTAAATGGGACTAAACCAGAGTTCATTTCTTCCCCCACAGCCCTCCACAACTGCATTTATCACCATGGACCTGGCACATGTCTCTCCAACTCATAACCTGTAGAGCATTTCTGACTTTGAACTCTTCTGAGGTCGAGGCGGAGTCTTTCAGAGTTTCTAGCCACCTGCTCAGCTGACACCGGTCTAAAAACTCCATTTTGTATCTTGGCCTTCGTTACTGCAATGTCCTTTTTGCTTCGGACAGACGGTCAGTAACAGACCAGTACGTATCACAGTTCCTGGTGACTAAACCGCTCCAAGCGCGACACTGAGAAGGGGAAGACATCACAAATGCAAGATCACTGCTTTCTTCATGAATCGACTACAGAAGATGTAGTGCTCAACATACGCACGCCCACAGCAAGCATTATTCATCACACAGCATCCCCACCTAACCAACTTTATTGACTTAATACTGTTCTAACTCACATGCTGCAAATGAACAAGACCTTCCTAAGTCTGAAGGTGTAGCTCTCCAGTAGCTTAAGCAGATCTGAAGATGCAGAGCTTCTCGATTTCTTCGTAATAACACCATCATGTCTGCCAGGTTACACAAAACCAGTGAAAAAGCAGCTACACGTTTTCAGATAGCTCAGCCCTGGCCCAGCTCACAACCCCTGGGCGCTGTGCTGAGTGGACTCTTAAGCATGGCAACGATACACTGCTCTTGAAACTACCCCTGTGGAAGAAGCCTTTACAGTTACCAAGCAGCAAAGTATAGGAAGATAAGGTCATTCAGAATCGATACCAGACAAGCATTCATAGAGTTTGCACCTAGTTAGTTAATCAAATTGTGGTTAACTCTAGCTTTCAGTAAGATTAAGAGCAGTCATCCTTACCATTTTCACCAGAGTAACATGAAAGACTGCAGCATTGCACTGGTAAGTGAATTTACCTGGTATCTTTGAAATGGGGTGCACCTTGATCTAAAAATCTTAGAGAAGATGGCCAGTCGCTGTCTACAGCACACTGATGGGAGTTCTCCTCACAGGTGTCCTGCCCTCTCCGGGACTTCTTTGGCCAGGTCAGCTGAGAGTCACCCAGTCACACGTGCTGGTAACTTACTCAGCACAGGAGACGCAGCCTATGTGACTGGATATCTTATGGGTCGGAGTCTGGATTCTTCCCCTTGTCCCCTACCACCAACTGCTTACATTCAAAGCTATATTCTCAATTAAACACAGTAATACACAAACTATGGTCCACTCCCCAGAAACAAGTGACAGGGTCATGAGCTGACATAACAAGGTTACACAGGGTTACAGAGATTCACCTATGCACGCCACAGTCAGTTAAATCACACCAAGCATCCAAGCACTCCTCCCTGTTCCAGTACTGAAAGACTCTCCCCCAGCTGCGTTAGAGCATTGA